TAAATTATTTGCTTTTACACTTACCCCCTTTTTGTCGTAAAAGTTCCTTTGTTTGCATTTCTGGTCACTCGGAAATTGTGAGGGACTAGAATGTTGATTATATCATTAAGAGGCATTAACAAAACACTTCGCAACTGCTTTTTCCTTATAGTAAAAATTATTTCCATCATACTATAAAAGCTCGTCTAAAAAATTATTTGTTACAGGTATGTGTATCTTCTTATTCAGAGATAGTTTTCAAACGAGACCCAAAATTCGAGGGCTTTCGAATAGTTCACTATTTTTCTTCAGGAAAATAAAGGTTTAGAATAGTTCACTATTCTTTTTCAGAACAATAAAGGAATATTCTCCTGAAAGCGCTCGAGTTTTGGGTTTCGTTTGGAAACCATTACGACTTTTGCATGTGATCTTGTGGGATAACTTCGTAATCAGAATTCTTATACAGAGAGATGTACTAGTGGGATTTTTCCATTTCCGTTATCAATCTCAATACTCTGTCTCTCTTTTAGACGTTTGGAAATTATTATTTCCCGTTTACGTTTGGGTACATGTGGTCTTAACGCCAATTAATACAAAGTTGGAGTATTGTCTTCACTGAAATTTGGAAGTTGTGGTAACTCCTAGGAAACCATAAGTCATGTTATTTTTGGTTCTGTTGCTTACTCTATTCCTTAAAACTTTCACTCTATTCGATATTTTGGAACCCCCTTTCACTATAAAATAAATGTAGAAGTTGTGGTAACTCCTAGGAAACCATAAGTCATGTCATTTTTGGTTCTGTTGCTTACACTATTCCTTAAAACTTTCACTCTATTCGATATTTTGGAACCCCCTTTCACTATAAAATAAAAGTTCTCATACACCTTAGCATGTTGTAATTCAGTTTTTCAAATAATTGTAATTAATGTTTTATAACTAGTTTATCAACCTGTGCATAATAAGTTATTCCTATGACAAAAAAAATTATGATTTATATTCAAGTTTTTAGTAACTTGGTCTTTTATAGATCAACTAAACCAAAAAAAAGAAGTTGGTAAACTTTGATACGTAAGATATTTGATTTGTTAAAAGATATTACAGCGGGTAGTCGTTTGATCCTTGTTTATGAATTACGGACATTCTTTGATAAATTCTAATATTGTTATTGTGAATATTCTTATGAGTTAGATTTTTTTCTTCTGGTTACGTTTTTCTGATCTGTCAGCATTGTTACCATATATTTTGCAATCTTTTCGTGATTTTGATATTATCAACTTTGTGTGTGTGTGTTTTTTTTTAATACTGGTGCTTGGATTCTGAAATTCGGATATTTATTTACAAAGTCCTGACCAGGGACTCCTTTATTGATGTTTAACATTTTTCATAGCTTGCAATATGTTTAATCTCTATTTTTTTTGTGCTCTGGTAGCAACGTCGTTATTTGATGCGTTACAGTAATATCGGTAAATTATATTTTTGTTATGACTAAAAAGCAGAGCACCACACTATTTCCTTTGAACTTTGGAAACGTGTAATAGACAAAGGTTAATATCGTGATGTTTGTTATTCAATGATATTTTACATATTAAAGTTCTATTGGTTTGGTTTTGATTATTGTTAAGCATAAGGCTACTCAGGTCGCGGGTTCGAATCTCCGTCCCACCAAACAAGTTCCCCTTTCAGCCGTGGGGGCGTTATAATGTGACGGTCAATCCCACTATTCGTTGGTAAAAGAGTAGCCCAAAAGTTGGCGGTGGGTGGTGAAGACTAGCTGCCTTCCCTCTAGTCTTACACTGCTAAATTAGGGACGGTTAGCGCAGATAACCCTTTCCCCACCACGAGTATCGAAACCCGATATTTAGCGTCGTAAGCCTACAGAATTATCGCTGAGTCATGGGGGGTGGCATATATTAAATAATCACATTTGTTTGACAGCGCTACGCTCACTAACTCTGCACACTAAGTTGTACACGAGTTAAAATTTGCACGCTCACACACAAACTTTTTTGTGACATTATTCTTATAATACGAAGATTTTATCTTTGATTTTCTATTATATTACGTCAGAACAAGCGGTAAACCAGATTATTTTTAAATAGTTTGACGTCATGTGTATTCTTTTTTGAATTTTTACCACATCGTTTCAATTTAATTAATAATACTAATCTACACAATCCAGAAAAGCGTAATTTATAGTTTGCATGGATTATTAGATTAACTCTAGCACAATATCTAGAAATAATGAAATTGGTGAAATTTAGTTTCTGGTCGATTTTTCTTCAGATTGATCACTTGCTAAAGACAAACTGATTTCAACAGCCATATAAACACCTATAAACAGCGTATCGTCTCCGCTGTTTCTTGTTCTCTTGTTTATGTAGTGTCTAACTTATTATCAATATATCTATATCAAAGTTTGAACAAACGTCAGAGTATTTTTGACGTGAAAATTACTTGATCTAGTAAAAGCTGAATATAATTTTTGCCTCCCAGTGGCTCAGTGGTGATACTGAAGGCTTATAACGTTAAAAACCGAGTTCCGGTACCCGTCGTTTAGCATTGTGTTTAACAACAACCAAATCAAACATATATAATATTGTTTCTGCAATTCCTACCTCAATAATAAGAAACAAGATACTCCAAAACTTTAAAAACATTGTTATCCCAGATTAGGCTATAGACAGATTTAGTAATGAGTGAACTGAAGTTACAAAACCCATTTGACCGATGTTTAACCACAAACATAAAGCTAACCCTAAAATATTAGTCACTTTTTTGCTCACAGTTTGATGAAGCAGGCCTGAGTACTAACATAAATTCAGCTTATATTTGTTGAAAGCATACTGTACACACAAAACAGAATGATTTATGATTTAACAGCTCAATGAACATCTTGCTTATCATTTACGGTTTACGGAACATTTCTTGTGCTTAAGTTGCAAGCTATCATGACGTCTTTAATACCGAATGTAGAAGCCTTACTAATACTGTTAAACAGTAGGTTTGAACATGCCTAACTCTT